TTAGCTCAGTGCAACTACGATGCAATTCTTTGTACTTCGTCCTTCTCGTACAGTTTGATTATTTTTAAAATACGGTATTCACTGCCCCCCCCCACCTCCCTTCGCTATTCCAACTGCGTCGTTGGTGTCGTGTCATAAGAAGAAGCGTCCGTCTATAACTCTCGATTGTCGTGCCCCATGTTAGAGAAGGGCCCGCGGAAGGGGATATCACGGAACTAACTCTGAGATACGTTCAAGTAACTTCTGTTGTCACGTGGCAGTCAAGCAGATGTTCTTTATTCTTGGAGCTGGATTTTAGTTAAATTGAGTTTACTTCGAAGCCAACGCCCCATTATCACAGACTGCTAGGATTGTCTCTCTCCATCCACTGCACTTACAATCTGTGCTCTTCACTCGTCACATCCACCACTCATATCTCGTTCCACCGCATCCCTGCATCTCACACTCAGTATTCTCCCTATACCCCTTCTGCTCTGCACTGGAGCCATCTCCATAGCCCTTCTAATTTATGGGTCTCTGTGTGAGTCTATCGGTCTCTCTGTGAGTATATGGATCTCTCTTTCAGTCTATGGATCTCTCTTTCAGTCTATGGGTCTCTATGTGAGTCTTGGGCTCTCTGTATGAGACTATGGCTCTTGATATGAGCCTATGGGTCTCCAAACTCCATAGACATTTTAATTCATGAGTAATTGTTTGAGTATATGGGTCTCTATGTGAGTATTTGGGTCTCTTTGTGCGTCTATGGGTCTCTCTGTGAGTTTATGGGTCTCTCTTTCAGTTTATGGGTCTCTATGTGAGTCTTGGGCTCTCTGTATGAGACTCTGGGTCTCAATTTGAGCCTAGGGGTCTCCAATCTCCATAGCCATTCTCATCGCATCCACTTTGTCTCTTCTCAGCATGTGCCCAAACCATTTAAATCTCGCCTTCCTCACCTCTAAGATATTAGTAATTTCTGCTGAGGCTTAAACTTCTTCATTCCGCCAAATGTTCCTTACGGCTATTCTCAACAGCTAAATTTGGTGTAAAACTAAATTTAATATTTTTTGCAGTCATTGGCGACCAGGCTGAGGCCATCAACTCAATGTGGTAGAGAACTCAGTTTAATCTAGGGTGGAGTACCTTGATACGAACTAGGATCTCAGTGAAACTGGCTGAGTGCTCTGCCCTCTATGCCAACTGGCAAGCTTTTCTTCTGTATATTTAATTTTCCAAAATGTCTAAAATATCGGGACAAAACTGTGCACATTTGGGAATTATAACTCCGCATGAGAATTGGCAACAGTGACCTCGAAAACCCCTTATTTTTTTGTTATCGTGAAGCATTTAAAAATAAATCCAGACATTGCAGGTGCAAAGCATTGATGATTGAGCAAGGGCTTTTAAAATAAAAGTGGGAAGGTGATTACTATACATAAAAAAAGAAATGCAGCCTCAGTATCCATCCAACAATTCCTCCAAATTACACTGTGATATATGCACAGTTTTGCTTTGTGTACGGTAGATGCCTGACACCCAGATAAATGTCAGTGCGGTTCTTGACAGTACCCGGAATGTTCTGTCAGTAATGTATGTCAATGCAGGTCAAACTGCACTAAACTGTATACATTTTGTGCTATGGTTCTGACCTTGGACCCATTCACCTTCTCGTTATATTAACGGCCATACCGGAAAATGTATGGAGCCTGCATTCCCTGTACACTTCTCTCCTTCCCTACCGCCCCACGCGTTCACTCTGTCTCTCTTCAGTTTAAACTGACCAAACGGACTCCGTTCCAGCCAACACACAGAACCCGCTTCTGGATTTTTTGAGGGGCGCTCAGCAGATAGCTGGAAACCTATACAAAGCTCACTGTACGTTTTTTTTTTGCGTCGTTGTTGGCCTCGTTAAAATAGAGACACCCACTGAGCCCAAATATATATTTCACAAGATAGACCTGGTGACTGTTCATTGGTATATTATTAATGATGCCTTGAAAATTTCACAGAAAAGCTTAGCCACGCCACGAGACTCCTTTTCAGGTTTGGTCCTGCACGGATTTATTGAATTTTGAGTGCTTGCAAAAAAAAGTTCAATTACGAGGAGGTACCGCTCAGAGTTCCGCACAGATGGATTCAATAATCCCGTGCTGGACTGACGTATCAACACTACACCACCATCCTAGCTCTAACCAGGCTCAGTTCTGCTTTCGCTTTTGATATCGAGATCGGATAGATTTCAGGGTGATTGATTGGAGACACATATGTTGACTGCTACCTGTGCTAAACCAGTGAAATTATCCTAAAGAGCTACAGTTTCGTTGAAAGGTTGCTGTTCTCTTAGAATTGTCCTTATATTACTAATGACTTTAACCTACCTCTCATTGAGGCCTTGACCCAGAAAAACACAATTATTTTGTGCAATTTAATGACAGTTTGGCAAAGTAGACATGACATTGTGCGAGAAAAGGCTTTTACCATGATTACAACCACATTATGGAAAGCTGACATAAAACACAGCATGCCTTCACTTTAGATATCAGGCTGGGCCAGTGTGCAACAATTCCAGGGGTGCATTTAATCATTGCATTCGTGAGCAAACAAAGGGATTTAATTAGAAGCACGTGAAAAAATGGTGATAGTAATTTACGAAGCCACATGTTTCAAAAACATAATACGCAGATTGTGCACCCCCTCCTCCCCCCCCCCCCCACCAACTTCCCAAAATTTAAATTCCTGGACACAACCGTGGGTGCAGATGTTGCTGTGAAGCAATCAATAGGTAGACATTGATGACAGTCTCCCCTTCCACATGTCAACAACTGAGTTGACATTGGCTGGGCTCAGGCCACGGTCAAAATCTTCTCGAGTTGATGACAATGTGGCCGAATGAGCGTTTCCCAAAGTCTATCCTTCACGTCCTTCCACGGTCCACCTCTTCACGTTCGCGTACCTTCTCACCCGGATGAGCATCGGGCCGTTGGCGCGCTGCATGCATCTGGCAATTGGCAAACTGAGGCAGACGTGGCCGTGACGTCGGAGATATCGGACCGCAAAGCCGTGCAGAGGTGAGTTCGAGTTTGGAGGGGGGGGGGGGGGGGGGCGGGGGAGTGTCACAGTTCCGTCCGTCTCGACACGTTGTGTTGACTGCCCGTGTCAGAATGTGAATACCCTGAGTGCAACTGCAAATGGCATAGCACACGTACAGTATGCCATTCGGTTGGCATAACCGACTGCGTCGCACGTGGCAAAGAAATGAAACAGGGAGACGACAGCGGCACCCCCGCTCCATCTCTCCAAGTCAACCTCGTACCTCACCACTGCTGCCCGTGCTTAAATAATACAGCTCATGAACGCTCGTGAATAGCCCAAGGCTTTTAAGCATGTATGAAGAGGCAGCGCCCATTGCTGAATATTCGCCTGTGGGCTTGCTGCATGATGCATGCGCTCAGAAAGCCAAGCCGGGGATGGAGCTATAAGCAGATCACCCAGAATGCACCTGATCGCATACATTTTTTAAAGCTAAGCGGCGTTTGAGCCTAGACAATGCTTGGATGGGTAACCGCGATGTGCAGAAACAAGGTTGTCACAGGCCTCGCATGGACTGCGTGATGGGCAGCAGAGGGCAGCGTGGCAAAATCCATTGCTGCGTTGTACTTCTATGACACCACTTATGTGCTCCCCACCTTCACCAACCGGCACTGATCAATGTGGTGAGGTATGGTCAAGTGACCTTCACAGCTGAAGATGTCATGATCCAGCAGTGGATGCTCTGTGCTTGTGTCATTCAAATGATGTTGTCATTTGAGTAAAAAAGTAAAATGCACGGTAGCATTAAATTATTGTTTGGTAGGTACACACTCCTGCTTCCATGTATGTGCGTGATGAATGAATGCAGGGACACATTCATTCATTTATTAGTCCGAACCTAACTTCTGTGCAGGATTGTTGCAGTCACGGTGTTTAGCTCTCTGGCGTGTTTCCGGGTGGCACCGCCTGTTGTTCGTCACGATGTCCGACGTTTCTCTCCATGTGCTGGGAGCTTCGGCAGCTCTCATCAGTTCCTGCAGACGTTCCCGAAGAAGCCCCCGGCAATGTGGAGCGAAACGTCGGACATCATGCACATCAGAGAGCTCTCATTAGACAACCAGTCCCCGAATTCAAAAATCGTAATGTTCATTTATACTGGAGGAATCCCCTCTCTCTCTCGCCGTCTAATGTACAAGTCTCCTGTAGCCAAACGCTGCGGTGACCTCCAGTGGAGATTGGCAGACTGCACGTTGCCATCGGCTGTGTGGTTGAGCCGAATCTCGCCGGGGCTCAGAGACTTGTGCATTTCCTACGGTGCCAGGGAGGATCTGCCCCACCAGAACTTACGCTGCTAGCACCTCAAACTAATGTTCCGCCTTTTGCGGGACATCTTCAGGAAACTGAGGGTGCCCTGCTACAACAGCAGCTTCGTATATGGGGGGGGAGGGGGGGAGGTGCCTTACCTGGATAACACACGCTATGACCTGGCCAACTTCGCCTGTGCTCAGGCGAAGATGGCGGTGTACAGAACGAGGAAAAAGATGCTGCAAGGTGACATTGACGGCTGCTCTGTGCTGCTTCCAGTGTTCAGGGGCCTGCTCAAGGCGCGGCTCCGGCTGTAGCACGCCATGTACCACACACATGTTGGTGATGTGCAGCGCGTCTTCTTCGAACGCTGGGAGGCCGGAAAAGCCCCTCTCTGTACCAGCGTGGACAGCACCCTCCTCGTGTTCACCTTCTGAAGCGCTCGCTCGTCGCCGTGGCGCGCGCGATGACCACCACCACGCGACTTTTATATTTTGTTGTGCGCAGCGCATTTAGCGCCACAGCGCATGGATGTATTGTGTTTGTTTATTTGTGTTGCTGGTGACTTTGTGTATTTCGTATCGGAATCGCCGCCAGTGCTGTTGCTGCTGGCGGCAATAAAAGTTGTTTAAAAGTCAAAAGTCTCTCTCTCTCGCCCTCTCTCTCTCGCCCGCGCCACGCGCGAGCAGGTCAGCCTGATGCTCAACGGGTGGCCCATCATCTCGGCGTTCGCCGGGGACCAGGACGTGACGCGGGAGGCGGCGAGCAACGGCGTTCTGCTGCTCATGGAGAAGAGCGACCGCGTCTACCTGAAGCTCGAGCGGGGCAACCTCATGGGCGGCTGGAAGTACTCCACCTTCTCGGGGTTCCTCGTCTTCCCGCTGTGAAGGGAGATCGGCGGGCTGCTTTTGTTTTGTTTTGTGCTTGGTGGGGAGGTGGTGGTGGGGCGGTGGGGGCAAGGCAGGTGGGTGCGGTGGGGGTAGAGTGGGGTGGCCGTGTGTGTGTGTGTGTGCAGTTGAGGGCAGGGGGAGTGGGGAGGAGGAGATGTAGGGCCCTCCAATGTGCCAGCGCCGTCCGGTCTCTCCTCCGGAGCTACAAGCGTCGCTGCGTGCAGCGAGCGGTGGAAGAGACTCTGTGGCAGCACGAAGAGTGCGCGATTCGATGTGCACCCGTGTGGAAGTTCCATTGTTTTATTGTTGTTTAATTTCCCTTGAAACAAAAATATACAAAAGTTATTATTCAACATTACTGTTATCATTACAGTATTTATCTTTGGCCGTGCACACTATACACAACGCGGGGACTTGACAGTGCACAAACGCAAAAGAATTTGAGTTGTGCCGATGAGGCCGTGGATCTGTAAAGCTTCCCCCCTCCCCACTTGATGTCCAAGATGCCACGATGGCAAAGCGTGAAGATAACAAAAAAAAACAGCAGCAGCAACAACGCATCCTACACGTGCGGATGCGGAGCGCGCAGAGGACAATTCAACTGACGCTCCTGTATAAGGTATCTTTGGTCGTTTGTTCGTGTTATGATACGTACAGTACATAAATATGTATATGTAATAGTGTGTGAGCCATCGAAAGCAGATTTGATATTCGCTTTGCAAGATCGTGGGCATCGTTAAAAAAAAATCTATTGAAATGAGCGGAACGCAAAAAAAAACCCGAATAAAAAAGCCGTATTTAAAACAAAGGAGTCGTTCTAAAAACAAAAAAAAAACACATTCCTGTGATCATGTAAGTGTTTATCGTGAACTACGATGTCATTACGCGTTCTCGTGTCCACCCTCACCTCTCGCACTCCCTGGCCCTCTCGCGCTCACAGCTCCCCCCCCTCCCCCCGAACACGCTGGCCACGTTCGCCCTCGCCTCTCCACCGCACGACAATCCCTGACCCCAAGATCCCTGACCCCAAAACCACTCCGCCTCGCCTCTACACCCGCGCGCGTCAAAGCAGCGAAGTGGTGCCTTGTTTCGGTTGTTTCGTTTACCTACACAACTGCGAGGCGTGAAGACACAGAGGCGAGAAATGTGTGCAGGATCCACGGACTTGTACAACGATTCACGAATACAGAACCATGTAACTGCATCCTCCCCCCCCCATCGCTCGGCCTATGCTGGCAACACTCAAGTTTCATTGCAATTGAGACTGCGATTTGTTTTTTTGAAGGGTAACGCGCATTTCAGAGGAAGATTTAAATTATGATAGTTTACCGTAATTAAGATTAACATTAAAGGTGAATTGTTGTAAGCACATTCGATTGTGCTAAACCAATATTTTTGTTTTTGTACATTTTTATTAAATTGTCACCCGTATATATATTTTTTTAAGCTTCAGTTCATTTTTGTTTGTTACCTGCAGAATCGCAAGTGAGCGCACGCACGCACGTATGCACCCGCGTGCGTACCTGTAGCGAATTGGTTAATATACGAATTTCCCAGATTCAATGTTGATCAAAAAAAGATCACACGCTGCCAAACGGAGCCAACAGCAAGCGCCAGGCACATTTCACCATGAGAAAAGCATCTCCCCCTCCTCCCTGCCCCCCCCCCCCCCCCCCCCCCACACACACTTCAGCAATTACACGGTTATTTGTCGTTTCTGTATCTGTGTAAATGCGACCCTTTGTGTGTACACCCGCATGAGAACAAATTTTAACTATAAACAGTTTTTTTTATTTCAACAAGTAAGGCCCACTGAGCTATATAGCTCTCTTTTCAGACGTGATCTGACCACAAATGATAGCCCAATTCAGTGGATTATCATGCGGACATTTATAGCAGTCAAATACTCTAAACGCGCGTTTCTAAATGTGGAGGGAAAAGCTGGAGGAGCCGGAGAAAAATTCATGCGACCACGGAGTGAACACGCAAACTCCAAATATACAGCAGGCGTCAGGGTCGGGATCTAACCCACGACCTTCTGTAGACCAGGCGAGGTAAGTTAACATCTCCTAGCCACCGTGGCGTGTCGCGTTCAGGATGCCTCGAAGTCTCAAGCTGCAAAATTGATCAACATGGGCCCTGGCGCAAATGCGCTTCTGAACTCTTTTTCGCTTTATTCATCCATTTTTAAATTTGTATTTCTCCATCTCCACCAGACAGCAGCTTTCGCTCCGCTGCGTAGCCCTACCACACACGAGTTGTGTGCACGATGTGGTACAGCACTCGCCGTTGTCGCCTTCGTGTCTGCAATTCTGATCGCAATGTCATTGAAAAGCCACTTCCTCTCGAAGCTATGCCGTTCGTTTGTCCCAATGGACTGCAATTACCAATTGCTGTTAAAGGCCATTTGAAGCTAATCTTGTGAACGCCGGCTGATGTTAACGTACAACACATCTATGCTGTAGATATAAACAAACATACTATAGTGCCGTATATAGAAACTTTAATCTATATATAGGCAGTATCGAATGTCTTGTACAGATCTGTATGTACGGTATATTGGTCTGTATGTGTTAATTAAGACAACGTATGTATGACACGTATACAGATATTATATAGGCATACAGTTTATGTATATATAGAGTCGATGGTGTGTGGGTGGGCTGGTGTGTAGCGCTATACACTATGTGTGTCTAAACGCTAACGCTCAATAACCCTGGTGTTTATTTGAATGGCATAGGCATATACACAGTATAGTGCACACAAAAAGATGAAGACTCCCCGTGTAGCCTTAACAGACTGTTGGGGCAAGTGCAGTTCGCGAGCAACTATGGGGCTGGCACTCCACATGAGGGGGTGGGCGGCCAGCACCACGCCCCACAGTTTTCTGTGGCGAATATCTGAACCGGGCCTGGGCCTCCACTAGGTAAACTCAGCCTTAAACGAGTACTTGGTGCGGTGTGTAAACATCACTGGGGAGACAAAGGCGTCCGGGCGTGATATTGGCCATCCACCCCCCGTTGAAGTGCCGTGCCAGCCTTCATAGGTGCTCACCCAACAGCACCTGCCCCAACAGCCTATTTAAGGCTATGCGGATGGGATATTCCGTCTCTATAGTACATCCATACATACACACGCACGCGTTTCTGTTGCATTGCAGGTGTGTGTCGAGGAGTGCGATGGCCGCAGATTAAAGAGACGAACGTTGGTTCTGTCAAGAGATGTACATCTCGTGTCGTCTTGGTGGCTGTCACGATCAATCTGCGTCACGGCACCGCGGATGAGCGCGTGGGCCTTCGGGAGGCACCGCGGGTCCCACGCTTTAACCCCCCCCCACCCCCGCAAGTCGCTCCCCAACCAACCTCTCTGTCTCCAGCACTGCCCGCCCTGCAGATAACGATAGGGCGGTCGCAATGCGCGCGCTTAATAAAGTTCAATGTACACCCCTCGAAATGGGCAGCTTCGCAGAGGACAATTTTATTGGATGTTAATACGCTCGCGGGGACGTCCACGAAGCTACAGAGCGGGACGTTGGCACGGCAGGAAAGTGCATTTTTTTTTAATGAACACATCATTGAGAGGGGATAAAACGCAAAAACTGGAGGAAAGAGGGGAGCGAGTCCAGTGTGCAGTGGTGCAGTGTTTGGTACGTTACACCCTGAACGTGGTGAGCTGAGTTCAAATGTCAGCCACGGCTAACATCACCGGCAAGTGCTGTATTCTGAACCGGTCTTGCCTTGCCAACACCTTCAGATACAACCGGCCCACTCACGCTCCGAACACCGCCTACCCCAATCACTGGGTATTTAATAGCCGCATTATTTTGTAATTTTCTTCACGATGAGTCGTTTGTTTTTTCTTCATTTCCAGGCAGTGCAAGTGGTGAGCACACTGCGAAATAAACCTGGCATCTCGAGTTTGATACCCTTCCCAAACGGAATTGTGCCGCTCATTCAGAGACCCGTGCTCACTAAGGTGGTGAAGTATGGTCATCCAAGCGGCAGCTGCTCACACGGCTTGGGGAGGCAGTCATCAGGCAGCGGATTAGCAAAGGGCTAAAACCATCAATGTATTTGACGTAACCAAAAAAAAAATCCAAAGCACATACAAAAAACCGCTACAAACAATCGACATGCACACAATACTTACTTGTTATTCCGTTTAATTATGCATGAGTACAATGTGTTGACGTGTAAAGATAAACCACTCCGCCTTTGTGCTACCGGCACACGAGGAGCTCATTCGGGGTAATGTATACAGCAGGGAAAGGGTGACTATAGAGGCACGGCGACCTGCATTCAGCAGACGCGATGCAACAGCGTAGAGTTGTGGCGTTTCAGGACAAATGGATTTGAGGAGCTGCAGCGGCGTAATCTTACGAAGCCAGCCAGCCAGCCAGCCCGCCCCCACCACCCCACGCGAACCCCTGGCCGGGACTACGAGATGAGAGAGTCCGTCTCTGTGGCGTGTCACACTGAGACGCTCGCTCGCGACACGGCAGTCAGCACTCCGCTTCATTAGCGCAGTGCAAGGGGGGAGGGGGAGTTGGGAGGGGGGGTCGCAGCCTTTAAAGCACGCTAAGATTACATGAGAGTGAAGGTTTACTTTCCTGCGTGTCTCCCTTCTCTATTATTTAATCTCCGCACGGAGATAAGCGCTATGCAGGTGTTATGTTAATTAGTCCAGGTCCGCTACGTGAGAGATGAATTGCCGGCAGCAGCCAAACGGCGCTATTTTTTTCTCTCCGCCTAATGAAATGAATGCTGCTATTGTTTGAGATATGAATGCTCATAGCTGGGGGGGGGGGGGGGACAAAAACAAACTGTCACATATCAGCAAAGATCACTCAAACTTCTCCACGAAAAGAGCAGAAACCCACCGATATGGACACTCGGGCTTCCACGCAAAGGCGTCTCGTCACAACGCCATCTCAGCACAATGCACAAACCCCACTCGCGTGGCCCGCAATTGAGAGGGCCTTTCCCTACGACCCGTCCATTGATTAACAATTAAACTTGCTCTTGTCATCAACATTTTGACCATAATTTACACGCGACAACACGATTCTGTCTTTGCAATCACGTTCACAAACTATTTGCTTTGAAACAACCCTCACTGCCTGCAGGGTGCGTCACGGGAGGTTCTCATCCAGCAGTGGATTGACAAACGGGCAGTGCACGTACCAGCTCAGGTTACATTCAAAGTTACAGCCGGCATTAATCGTGATGGGCGTTACCACTTGAGACCCTTTCCTCGCAAATGGAAATGCCCAGCGGTACATGAAATTTGTGGGAGATGACACACCGTGCACACGACCATGATACAGCGTCACCTGCGTTCAGTGCAATACTCATTTTATACTACCGGATGATAAATGTGAACGTGATATATTTTTTGCGTGCAAGAAATCCTTACTAATTCTCATTATTCATATGCAGGAGGGCCCTGCATTGGAATATTTAGCCAATTCTGGTATGTTGGACTTCTTTTGCACCGTACGCAGCCAACTGTGTGCATTGAAGGTGCGGGGGAAGGAAAGCAAACAAAACATGTAACGCAATTAGAAAGATATTAGTTTTCAATCTAGAGTTTAAATAATTGAATATATGTTACAAATAAGTTCCCCTGCATTCACAATCATATTTCATGCAACGACTCAGTTAAATCATATTACACAGTTGGAGTAATAATGATTATTTACAGCTTTTTGTTTCACGGCCTTGGATGAAGGCCTCCCCATGCCTCGTTAACCACGGGGTTGCGTAACCATACTTCACCATGCTTGTGAGTGCGGGTTATTTAAGGAAGGTGACCATGACCAACTTCGAGATCACTCGCCATTGGCGTTAGCCGTGGCTGGGAGCCGAACTAAAATTTCCGGATTCATAGCGCAGTGCACTACCCACTGTGCCGTCGCTCAACGCATCAAGTAATATAATTGCCCTGCATCTATCTGGGAGAGCCTCGTTGAACCTCGGGATTGTTTTTCATGAGGATCCTGCATTGGAACGTTTTGTCGATTCTATTAATGCGTATTTAGCATATGAGAGGAAACCGAAGGACTGGTTAAACACACACATTTCAGCCTTCGGCTTGTCTTCCGCATGTGCTATTGCATTTAGGGTGTCTACACTGCAATGAACAGTAATCTGCGCTGACACTAATTGCACAAACACCGAAGCTAAGTTTACGTGTAACTCTCAGATTCTAGCTAAATCCACGTTGCTCACGTAGAGTTGTATTCTGTGGAAGTACTGCTGTGTTAGGGCTCTGCTGACAACAGCTCTCCCGATGTGTTTATTGGCTGCCACTGCGCGTGCCTTCTTGGAGTCTGCTCGGAGGTTTCCAGGTGCTGTCCAGGGTCTGAAAGTCTTGCCGGAGCTCTCCAGATGCTGGAGCTGTCCAGGGTTCTGAAAGCCTTACCGGAGCTCTGCAACA